GCTGCCGATGAGGGAGATGGTGACTCTTACGGGGGGGAAGTGCTGGATTTCCCCGCACAGCGAGTCCCGGCAGGGGTCTGGGCACACCGCTCTGCCAAACTGAGATACTGGGTTCCCTGCTCCTCGGGTGCTTCCATTGTTCACTGCCCCGGATGTCAGCCATTGGAAGTGGCGCCAGATACCACGCAGGCCCGTGCCCTGCACATACAGCCGAGTCCTTCCCGTGGCGCCGATTCCACGGCCCACGCCAGGCTCCTGAGCACGGCGACCTCGGCGCGGCTCATCCTGTTCCATGGCGGGTACTCGGCGAGGGCGGGGGCTGAGTGTGAGGCGGAGGCGCGCTTGCTGCATTGCTTCTCCCTCTGCCCCCTGCAGGGAACTGGACCCCGTTTTAACCGAGGTCAGCCTGATGAACGCCCGCAGCGAGCTGTACCTCCGATTCCTCAAGAGGCGCGTCAGCTCCGACTTCGAGGTGGGCGACTCCATGGCCCCAGAGGAGGTCAGGCAAGGTAATCCGGGCTGAGTGTGAGGCGGAGGCGCGCTTGCTGCATTGCTTCTCCCTCTGCCCCCTGCAGGGAACTGGACCCCGTTTTAACCGAGGTCAGCCTGATGAACGCCCGCAGCGAGCTGTACCTCCGATTCCTCAAGAGGCGCGTCAGCTCCGACTTCGAGGTGGGCGACTCCATGGCCCCAGAGGAGGTCAGGCAAGGTAATCCCTCGCACGCCAGGGCGCTGGCACGGCGGGGGGCGCGGGGGCTGCTTGGAGCTGCGCGCTGGAGGCAGCATCTGGACCCCCAGCCTCCTGCGTGGCCTGGCCCCTTGGAGCTTGGCCTCCTCCTGGACAGTTGGCAGGGGGCCTGGGCTGGGAACTGCCCCCCAGGGCCCAGTCGGGCAGCCCCTCTAGCTGCAGGAAACTCTCCCACCAGCTAGCCTATCAGACTTCACACACGCAAAGGATGGGCTCTCTCCCCCGCCCCCCCAAAGCAGGCAGACAGCACCCCTGGGGAAATCTGGAGGTGACACCACACGGGGGGGTCCTGGTGCGGGGCACGTCTGTTACATCTGTCCCTGGCTGGTGGGTCTGGGGGGCTGGGCATGCCCCGCCCGGGTGCTCTAAACC